GGTGGGTCTTCACCAGCCACGGGCTGGGACGTACAGGTACCTTTTTCCCCCCTTATTAGCACTACCGGAATAAAAAATGGCTTTGCAGAACTTGAGAATCACCGTGGTAAGAATCAAACCGGCCGTCTCCTCCCGGAAAATGGGAGCAACCAGCTCTCGTCACTGGAGAGCCAAGTTGTGCTAAGGAGGCTAGAGAAGCTCTCCCAGGCCATCATCTTCCATAGCCATGCAAAATTTAAGGCAACAAAAATTGCATTATTTTAGGGGGTGGGGGGGGGGGGTCAGGAAAAGATGCTTTTCAGTCTAGTCTTTCCAATCAAACGGCCTTCTCATCAGTGTTAAAGTAAGGTAGAAGTAGTACAAAGCGGCTTTCAGCGAACACTTGCTGATCTTTTCTGGGTGAATAAACGACACGAGCGGTGATCTGAAAAACAAAATTTCTCTCTAAAGAAGCTTCAAGCAAGGACAAAGGTAAACGGCCCTAGGAACTAGAAGAGACGATTTTTCCGTGCCCGCGGGGAGCGGCGCGGCGAGGGATCGGTGCGGCCGGGGCGGGCTGCTGGCAGCACACCACACCCTTGCCTTTCACACTCATCTTCCCTCGACACTTCGCAGCTCCCCCCCAAGGAGAAGCAGTGCTCCACAAAGCTGTAAACCTACCTTTTCCAACACTCCACCTCCAACAAGATACTGCTGTTGTCTTGCTGCTAATGCAACAGCCAAATCTTCAAAGAGTGGCACAAGAGTGGTCTCTGGTGGAAGCAGATCAGACCTACAGCATTGCCACCGGAGGCACAGGAACCCGAGCCAGAGACCTTTGTCCTCAGCGGCCAGAAGTCACTGCTTTTTAGCTGCAATACTAGGCTACCCTGATGCATTATACCCTAAAAAAAGAAAAAAGACGAGTTCTCATGCATGCTTTTGGACTTCTGATCTTTTATCACAAATGATCTTACTGTACTCAAATCTGCCAGACAACCGAGAATGGGAAGAGTGGCTTTTCTGAGGTATTTTCTTAAGTGTGGGCTTAAGAGAAACCACGTTCAAAACGCTCAGTCCCACTTCAGAGCCGTAACCCACGACCAACCAGCCATCGGACGGCAGGTAAGGAAGCAAGGGAGGGGAAGGGAAGGCAGCAAACAGCAGCTCAGGGCAGTGACACTGCTGGTAAATGTGCGACAACGCTAGAGCTCTGCTGCTTTCCCCAAAAATCAGGATTTCAGCCCACTTACGCTTGGTTCAGAATTGAGAGTTGGACGTCTGAATCCAGCAAAAGTGGCATTAGATGGGCAAAAACCTCACCACCCAAAAACTCCGAGGAACTTCAAAAGCATTACAAAAACCCCGTCACTCGTGTTCAGCAGACGTTTCCTTGTAACTTGGAGTTTGATCAAGACAGACAACAGAAAGCACCCTGTCAGCTTCGACAGCCTTTGAATCAGGACTATGAAACAGAAAACAACAGAATCAAAGAGAAAAATCCAGGAGGAGGAGGAAAAAAAAAATAAATAAATCACATTGATGATCAGGTAGGTTGTTCCCACACTCCTCTGCTTTCAAACACAGCATGAGCTATTTCCCAGGGTGCGGTCACCCACAGAGTGGAAAGAGCCCAGCATGGTTCTCTGCAGAATTCCTACCTGCACGAGGTTCTTCATGGACCAGCTTGGAGAAAGCGTCGTTAGGAAATGCCAGCAGGGAGATCAGTACCTGGACTCCGTTACCTGCTCACCAGCTTGATGCCACCACACTTCATTTCTTCATTCCATGTCACATCACTGCTTTCAGCGCAGGCTGCCCCTCGAATCATTACACAGGGGAAGTGAAAGGGGAACGAGGGGAGAAGAAAGAAGCTGTTTTGGAGGCAGGGTGGTATGGGGTTTTTTTATTTTCCTGCCATAAGCAGCCATCCCTTGTTCTAATTAGATGAAAATCCAGCATACATAAGAGGGCAGCTCATCTCTAGTGACCAAGGCAGATGAAGCTGGCAAGAAAGCCCTCACCAGAGAGTGATCCCTTCTCCAAACCATTAACTTCTTTTCTGTGCTATTGCAAGGAACATTTGAGAAATCTCATTTCCCCCAGGAAAAATAAAAGCTATTTCTTGCACACCTCAATTATGCGTTCCCAGGTCTAAGGCAAAGACAGAGCCGAGTTATCCTTGGAGACCAGGAACTGTTAAGTTCTGGTTGAGGCAGTGTCTTCCTTCCTCCCCAAAACACCCAGCAGCGTGCCCAACCTCTACAGAAGCGGGGTAACGTGGTATTTGCTGTAATAGCCAGCAACGCTCTCAGCTGCAACAGTTCATGACTAAGGCCGGCTCATCAAAAAAGTGATTTCTACCCTCTTTGAAAAGTGAAAGCCCACCCGCTTTGGGGCACAGTCAGAGACGCTCTCCACACGCAGCCAGACTGCCACAGACACCGAACCCAGAATTAGAGAATTCCAGAACTAGAGAACTGATCGGGGACTTCCGTAGCTGAAGTCAGAGGTCTCAAGCTCTTCAGATGGGCCAAGCCACGGAGAACCCGAACGAGAGCCACAAATGTGCTTGAAGGCAGCCGGAGGGTTTGTTTTCCCTCTACTCACCCCTACTGCCAGGTCACCCTCAACTGCTGAGGTTCTCCTGCCTGCCGCACGGCAAAGATCAGGTACGCACACACCAATTCATCTTTTCCCTGCATTTGGGAGATCGCCCACAAGCTTCGTGACGGCCTTACAAGAACTACGCTAGAAGAAAAGCACACACAGAAGTGGTCAAATATACCATTTTTAATGCAGATTTGTAAAATTTAAGCTCAGTTTTGAAAATCTAGGACATTTCATCAAAGAGCATTTGGTCCTCTTAAAAATTTCCCATCCCCGATTAAATACTTCATGGAAGAACAACAGTTAAGCATACATTGCATTTTTAATTAAGAAAAATTTATATTGCACATTATACTGAGAAATACAAAAGTCTGTTTCAGCAAGTTATTCCAGCAGTGCTACCAATTCCATTTTGCTACCAATTTCATTTTGATACCACTGACTTATACAAAAGTTTTAATTTTAGTGCATAACGTGCGCCCTGTCGTTACAGAGTAAAAACGTATCAAAGCATTTTTAAAACAAAGAGGGAGAAAAATCGGCTCTTTGAAGAATACAAAGCCTTTTACCACCTCGTCAGCACCAGTCTCCTTGTAGACAAAAACTGCTCCTATGGAAAGACAACTGTCGGATCACCTTGGCAACACAAATTTCAATGCGGTTTCTAACGAGGAGCTGACCGTACGCTGCTTGGCACTGCACCCAACGCCCCGAGTCGCTAAGGGCCGAAAGGCTGCGCTCCCTGCCCGCGCCGTTCCCGTGCTACGGCCACCTCTCGCTATTTCTGGCAGTACAGAAGAGGGACAAAGCCCACCGGCAGAGTAGTTTTGCAACTTCTTTACAGTCATGTCATTCTCTAAGGAAAACTCTGAAACAGATTTCTGTGCATAATAACACTTGGCTGGAAGCCTTAGCAGGCTACAGGTGCTTCAGAAGGCACAAGACACCGAGAGGGGATTGCAAGGCATTTAAGGTACGTTCAGAGAGCTAAAACACGGGTCAGGGCAAAACCATTGCCAGAAGCAGCCACCAACACCCCTAGGGCAACGTCCGTCCCGGCGTCTGCTACGCCATGATTTTAAACGGCTGGCTGAGGAACACAGTGTTTGGCTTCCACGCTGCCAAGCACTTCTGATTTCAGAACCACAATTAGAAGATCTGGCCCAGCGGCAGCGTTTCGGAAAGCCCAGACAGTTTTGCTGTCTCTGCCTCCCTCGGTCAGCAGCACGCACTCCCCTTTACGCGTCCTCCTGCGCTTCTTTACAACGCGTGCAAACTGAAGCGTACCTGCAAGCCCAGGCAACGCTTACTGGTTAAGAAGCCATAGCTTGAACCTCTCCCAATACCTCTTTGGATCGTAACACCTTGACTTTATTTTTTGCTTTGATATAGGCAACTAAGACATTCCAGTAATAGGTTTGCAAAGCCAATTCTACAGGGGTTGGCACTGCCAGCTGCCTCAAAGATCAAGGCAATCGATTCTATTGCAATGTTTTGGGAAATCTTAACATATTTCCCTCTCCCTCCTCCAACCCTTCCCCCCTTAAAACAGACACAGTAAGACTAAGAAGACAGGATTTTTTTTTTTTTTTTTTTTTGCCTGAATAGGAGACCCAACTATCATGGAATAGAAGATTCTACAACGAAGTCCCTGAGATGCATCTATATGCTAAAAGATTCAAACAATAACCTCTTCAGCACTAACTTCATATTTAGTAGAAATGTTTTGAGTTGCAACATATGGTTTATGAAAACCAATGTTGTTCTAAGAAGGTGAAAATACAGCAGATCAAGTACGCCCTTAATTTAAAAATAATTGACCCAACAGTGACATTCAGCTACTTCAACCATAGCCAAAAGCACGTAAGCAATGGGGAGCCACTGAAAAAAACCCAAGTGTTATATTTGGAATGAGTTGCTTTGGCCTCAGTTTGTTTTCATCCCACGACAGCTCTGCCTGAATTTAACTGCTGTCTTCCTGAAAGTTCACAGACAGCTATTCCTCAAACACATCTGAGCTGTAGTTCAAGACGGTGGGACGAAGCAACAGCATTTTTTCACCATTCCTCACTGGAACCAAAAGGCACAGTTTGCGGTCGGCATCGATAGCTGCCGCCGCCGCGACCCTGTTAGGATGGCACGTCCCAAACTGTCTCGTGGCAGAGGGAAGTTGGCATGCTGCCAGCTCCGACCTCCCACTAACGCCATCCCCAGGGTGACGCAGAGCCAGCCCTGTGACTGAGTAAACTGAGAATAAATCCATCCCACGAGTATTCTTTGGGATGGGCACAGCAGTTGATATTCTTCCAGTATCTTAAAAAAAAAAAAAAAAAAAAAAAAAAAAAAGAAAGGAGAATTCATCTCAAACCTAAGTTACTTTTTAAGTTAATTTGGGATCCACTGTATTTTGTAACCAGCTAATCAGAAATACTTCATCCACCTTCCCAAGCAAGCTCAGGTTTTCCTGCTAGTGAAGAACTTAAGGCACGAACATATTAATGCTGTCAGGAATGTGAAATAGTTTGTTCTTCGTGTACTGTCACACCAGTCCTTAGCAGCATCTCTCCTGAAAAGGCACTAGATACATGGCAAACAACGAAACTTTGGGAACTTCTGCTCAGCTAAGCTATATAAAGGTAGCTGCTTGCACAGCTGAGTGGCTTTGCAATTTCCCCTTCCCTCCCCCCCATTCACTTACAAAAAAAGGCACCTGATTTGTTTTATTACTGGTTTCTATAGCCACAGGCTCCTGCAAACATGCAGTTCTATACGACTGTGTATACGAGGGACATGGTAACTATACTGGTAGCTTCTTATATGGTCAGGAGTTATCTTTTCAAGATACGATCCTAGATACAGCGGTTTTGTTTCAGCAAAACCCATTACCAGCGGGTTCCTACCTGAGTAGTACTTAAGGTTGTGTATTGCTAGTCAGAATAATTCAATGATTAAACTTGGTGTAAGAAATTGCACTTTCCCATCCCTTCCCCAATCCTAAGATCATTTCAAATTAAATACTAGACCCTTTTCTAAAGGGACATTTGTAACACAGCTACAAAGAGGTAGCTAAGTGGCACATGCCAATTTTCTTTTTTTTTTTTTTTCTTAAAAGTATAGTCAGCCTTCATTTGCAACAACATTTTTCATAGGAAGTTTTAAAACAAGACATCTCTATTCAGGTGGCACACGGAGTTACCACAGTTCAGAAGAGAGAACGTGATCTCCCTCCACGTCCATAATCGAAAACTAACAAGCATGGGGGACACCCAAGTGACTCAGCGTATGCAGGTGTGTAGCTGAAGAGGAGAGGAACGCCTACAGCCAAATCCCAGGCTCCTCCTGACACATGATAAAAGTAATTCTTATTCTGAAGAACCATTCAGATCAAGCCCACCATTCGATCAATCTGTCTCATGTAGTTACTCTTCAGTGGCAGCAAGTATCTCCTCTCATCAGGAACTCTGTTACACTGTTAATGAAATGAGAATATTTTTAAAGAACTGAAATACAAAACCAGGCAATCCCATACCCTCAGTAATCCAGCAGGCGCCTCCGCATCAGTAACCATAGATTTCTGCCCAGTACAGAAAATTGTACCCAACAGCCCTTCGGTCCCGACTCTCCCTCGCTCTTTGCAAATTTACAGCACAAACCACAAATGAACAGCGAGTGTTTCCTTAGCGCGGGCTGCAAGCTCCCAAACACACGCCAAACTACTGCAGCTTGTTATTCAACTGAGGCTTCCTTCACTATGACAACTGTGAATGTTTTTTTGAAGTAATGCTCTTTTTCTGCAGGACTGGGGGGAGGAGGGAAGGAACCATGCTAGAACCTACTCACAGAGATCTAAAAAAATTGTTCTGTATTACAAACATGTCTAATTTGGCTGGCGATAGGCACTGGATCCATAGCTCTGTACTCAGCTGATGCCTAGCGAAGGTCACCTTTACACGCCTCAGAACCATTCTGAGGGGGGAAAAAAAAAAAAAAAGCTCTGTTTAAATGACCCTCTGCTTTTCTCTTTCCCCATCACAGCAACACTGGAAGATTTTAATGGCAAAGAAAAGGGGAAGGGAGTAATAATTGGAAAGAAATTAACAAAGAACAAACGAATTGCTGCAAAATACTCAAAAGGGGACAGGTTTCACCTTCCACATAATCACTCTCACATTATCCCAATCCATTCATTCCACTACTGGAAGTGTTTTTCACAAGGGAGCCTCTCAGGCATTTGACATTTATAAAGGAAACACTGCAGAGCCCTGAAGTAACACTTCCAAACAGCTCTTTTTGTACTGCCCAACCCAGCTCAGCATACATCCCTTCTCCAGTGACACAGCCAGGAACACCCTGTGTATTCCTTACGTTAGAACTGAAGTTGACTGCTCTGAATTCGTTAGGTTTAATTTTTTCCGCGCTGTCCTCTTCTCCAGGGAGGATGTCTTGCCACAGCGAGTTACGAAAACGCTCATCCACAGACACAATATGTCCCTCAGTAGTAAACATATACTTGTTTCCAGATTTATGCAGTGGATTCTCTTCATCAAACAACTAAACAAGAGATGGGAGAGACAGCTACAGTACGTGTGCAACATTCTGCACATCCCATCAACATTAACACGCACGGGCTCACGCATTTGAAGGATCACACAAAAAGCATGGCTTTTAGTGCTAAATGGGTTACTACTGTTAGAACAAATGGAAATAAATAGTTTTAACGCAAGGGATTTATTTTAACAGTTAAAAGGGGAGAGCAAAGGAAAAACTTCTCACACAACTTAAACTGCCCTTATTTTTCTAAGCTGCACCATGCAGGCATTTCTAGGCTGGCATCCACTGTTTCCATTCAGTCACAGATTTATTTGTTTTTCTGCACTAAAGGAGATTGAGAACAGTGGCTTAAGCAGTGCTGGCTCAAGTGTGTTCTCCTGTGACTGCCAAAACCTGATGGGGAGAACTCAGAGGCTGCTGCGAGGCAGGCAAAATGGCTACAAGCAGTAATTTAGCTCAGAGCTGAGCAGCAGCTTCCTTCAGCCGTGCTGCCTCCCCTTTCCAGCCCCCCCCCGAAAGAGCTGCCAGCTCTCCAGCCAGCAGCTGCCCAAACCTCCAAGATGAGGGTAGGGCCAAAGAAAGAAGAGCAGCCCATTCTCTGAAACACTCTGATACCCAAACCCCTCTCTTCCCCAGAACACAGCACAGATTCCAGTTAGCAACGCCCTGCCCCCTCGCTCTGCCGTGTTTGTGCACAGCGCGTGCAAAAGCGTCTTTGAAATGAAGAACACGTACGTACCAGGTACAAGTATTTACATGTTTCACTGAGAAAAAAGCTCTCCATTCGATCTTCCTTCGTCTTCTCTACAACGTGGTGTAACGTGGCATAGCCACACCTGCAAGATTTAAGGTCAGTTTGGGTTTAGTTCCCCCGCATTCTGATCTCAAAGCACTCCCTAGATATTCCCTAACTTCAGACCATTCCCACTGTCACTAGGGGTGAAGTTAAAATGAAACAAGTCTCTTTTACGAGTAAGCACTGATTATTGGTTTCTGGTATGCTGATGAGACTGTAATCACCGAGCCTGCGGTTCACCTTTGCCATCGTGCAGATTCATTAAGAGTCTCTCAAAGATGCGAGATAATCTCAAGGCGCCCTGCACAAAACAGGTCATTTCCCCACACTGAGCACACGAGAACCCCAGATCCAGAAGCCCGGTCTCAAGCAAAGGTTTCTTCCTGAGCTACCTACTCTTCCCTCCCACCACACTTAACACATAACGGAGCTGCAAGCTGTCACACTTGCAGTTCTCCCAGCCAACCCCCTACACAGCATCTGAATCCCACTGAACTGCAGAACGGCGCCGTCTTGTACTGTCCTATGGTTAGTACAGACTTATCTACAAAGTCCGTAAATAGCAGCAGTTGAATAAAAATTCACTATCTTCCCTCTGAGTCTTGCAAGAAGTTGCACCACTCAGTGTTGCAGTCAGGATTCACTGTGACTGCCTTGAGAGGAAACCCGACATGCCACAGCACCTATCTTAGAGGCCATCCCTCCAGTTTAGTTAAAAATCACGGGCCCACAAGGTTAGAAGCATTCTTGCAGGATCCATAGGAAAAAAAACCAACTTACTAATTTTACCAGTTTTTAGTAACTGATCATCAAGAATGCATTCTGAAAGGTAGTTATAAAATTCTGAAGGCATAAAGTTGTCACTGGACTATAATTTAATTTTCAGATAAGAAAAATAATTGCACAATAAATAATTGTGGCTTTCATGGAGGGTTGTGTTCTCTGGTTTACCGACATTTGGCAGATGGATTCTATATAATAGTTATATAATAAAATATATGTCTATAGCAGTGAGAGAAGACTAAGAACATTGAAGACTGACTTTGCTTTTGTGTATTTTTCCAGGCTCTGCAGAATATCCATTCCCACATGAAGGTAAAAAGGGTTCTTTGTGGCCTAAGTAAGGAAGACAGACAAGAGTTAGCGTCAGCAATTTCAAAACCTTGTAAAAATAACACTTACAAAGGCCTAGTAGCATCAGATTCTCGTGTATTACAGTAAACTTATCTTTGCAGGAACATGACTTGGATTACTCTGTGCAAGCTTCTCACGTTTGCTTTAGCGCAAACCCTAATAAAACTTGCAGTAAATTCAAACTCTCTGATAGCTTTCTTGCAGTCAAAAAGTTATTTAAGTTTACTCTTATCTTCTGCCAGTTGGAGACTGTGCCTAGACAATACAGCAAGGAAGGCTATTACACTTACTTCAACAAGTTCTATTAAGTAGTCAACAAGTCTCTACCTTGTAAAAATCTGCCAGCTATTTTTTGAAAAGGTTGCTTACTCTCATTTTTGTCTCTTATAAAAAAGGCTATTTGTTAAGCAAACAACATAGCCACCACATTGCATCTAGCGCCAAAACAGAGACCTCCATATAAGAACAGGCAGATCCAGAGGCACCAAATTTTAGCAGGCCAGAGACTGGGGGTAGAAAAAGTGACTCTCTGAATGAAACCGCTGTTGCCAAAACATGAGCTGTAAGCTCAGAAAAGTCAAGTACCTGATAAAGAAGGTAAGTGGACTCCACTAACTCTGGCCGCAGAGGATAAAAGGGAACATCCGGGGCTTGCAATTGCCAGTTGTATCTTTCTGGGAGAGCTCCGTATCGTTTCCATATGGCGTAATAAAAAGCATGGAGACAGATAGCATCTTCCACGTCTCCTATCAATACCTGGGCATAACAGCAGCCGAAAACATGCACGCTTAATACTGCAAGCCTGCAAATTGCTTTTCACTCTGTGTAAGAACGTGCTGTATATAAAAACGCTCCCTTCATAAGGGGAGACAAAAAAAAAAACCCACAACCCCCCAAAAAAAAGCTCATGTATTAATTCCTTTGCACTAAAAGCTTTAGCAGAGCTCAGACTCACAGCATGGTATACAAATGCTGAGGTTAAGTGAAGAAAGTTAAAAGTATCTCAAATCTAGCAGAGAGCAGGCCAAGCCTTTCAGTATTGCTATGCTGATGCAGAAGCTGAACCACCCTAAGACTCTCTTATCAGAGCAGCCAGATGCAAACCCACAGGTTGAAGCTCATCTCGGAAGAGATGCTTAGACTCATTCATAGCCTAGGATTAGAATGAGCCTTCCTGACACCCCTTCTACTGTGTCGTTTGGTCCTTAACGGAATTAAAGCTTACCTGTAGTCCAGGAAAAAAGGCTTGCAAAGAGTCAATCCACGTGTTCATCAGCTGTCCTGTGAACATGTTTACGTTAACGTACAGAGGAGGGTCACCTTCACCTTCATTGCAAGCTTCTCGACTGCCAAGTAACAATAAGCGTGTGTAAATATTCACTGTTTCAGAAGAGCACAACGCACGTTTCATTTCACAGCACTGCCACCAGCACAGAGAACGAGCCGCAGATTTGTTGTGCTAGGCTCAAAGCCATTTTGAAGAGAACCAAAACGTCAGGCATGCTCTCAGAAAAATCAATCCATACCGGTATGCACAACATATACTAAAATTATGTCAGCAGAATCTCTACCAAAAAGTCACGGTAGGTAAGATCAGGCCTTTGCCTTCTCTCGGCCTAATGTTTACTAAGTTGGGCAGTAACCAGTTTAGCTTCTTTGCACCAATAATGCTAATACTGATCAGTTGACTAAGGACTGAAGGGAATGTTACATTTTATTTCCACGTTGACTACGACGGAAACAAGATTATTTAGAGAAAATAAAAAGAACAGAGATTTTTCTAGGCCATGACACAAAACAGTGCACAATCTCTCATATCTTGCTGGAGTCCTCATTGCTTTAAGGAACTGATGCTTATATGAAAGAACATACCCTCTTCTTAAGTGGTTCTGAATGTTCCGATAAGCATCATTGAACATCTCCAGGTCTTCCTTTTCTCCAAAGAGGATGTAAGACTTCAGAAGGTATTCATAGAATGAATCCGACCCTGCTCCCAGTCCACTTTGCTTTCCAACCCAATGGCCAGTTTGAATATTCACAACATTTCCTTTCAGAACAGACAACAAATTTAGCCTGAAGTTGCCAAGTACATCAGAGAAAAGTCATTGAGAACTAGAACTTAGAAATATTACATCTTCAAAAAGTCTTAAGGAGGAACGATCAAAAGATTACCATCAAAATAAAGTGTTACAGTGCATTCATCCGAGGAACTAGCACACGCACGCAGTTGCTTTAAGTACTTCTAGTCATCTGCCAATCTAAATTATATTAATGGGGACACAACTGCAAGAATTTCAGTTTCATATCCCACAAGTCATTCAGATACTCCCATTTTCTTACGCAATTACCAAGTGCCATTTGGTTAACACAAATCACGAGTAGACAAGGAGAGCGTGACTTAACAGCCTCAGAGGAAGCAGATCGACAAAATTTACGATACATGAGAGAAACCTGTAGCATGACGGCGTTCTGCTACAGGAGAGTGGGGTAAGCGAAAACGTGGAGCCAGTCAACATCGCGTCACCTCAGACGAGATTACCTAGCAGTCCGGTGTCATTGCTCCTGAGACTCCAGAGTGCTTTGACAGCTCTCCTGGCCACCCATTCAAAGGTGGAATCGCCAAGCAGCCTGCTAAGAATACCAAACTCCACCAGCAAGGAACCGGCTCCTGCAGTACAAGTTTCGTTATTGCTGTCTGGAGGTACCCCCTTCTTCAGATTGACCTGTGAAGCAGGTAGAGAGGGCGCTAAGAGCAAGGAGGCGGGCTGCAATTCATCTTCCAACTTTATAACACCATGCTCAAGGTGGACCATCCTAACTTTGCTACTCTTGCTAATCCTTCCAAAATTGCAGTCCACTTTTTCATCATTTCTACTAAACGTTCAGGTTCTTCCAAAGGTGATGCCAGTACCGCTTCCCCTCATTTAGTGCTCCCGAAACCAAGAGCATCCTCAGCGAATGCTCAACTTCCCCAAGGAACAAAAAGGCTGAAGGGAAGCTACACCAACCTCAGCTGCTTCGCCAGACTCTGAACAGAAGTGAAAGTTCACGTTTCTACAGCCTGACAGGTCTGGAGGAAAAGCAGTGCTGCTGTCGCCAGAAATTAAAAAGTAGTCAGGCAAGTGCTAATTAGTTTTTACAGTTTAGATTTCTTCCACTAGAACTGACATCCTTCTCCTCATGAACTGCATCTGCTTAAAACGAGAGAATGTGGTATTCAAGAATTCTTGAGTGCTCACTGAGCACTACTCAAGGAAATTACAAATTCCAAGCCCAGTACGACAAATATTGCAGATGAGTTTTATGTTAGCACGATTACCTTAGTACCACGTCACCAATAAAGTTGCTTTCCTAGGCTATTTGCCTTTACAAGTATTTCTTGTTAACCTTCTTAATGACAGCATTGTTTGCTGCTGCATGATATATAGGAAGAAAGCGCGGGGCAGGCCACGTTCCAGCCAAACAGCGTGGAAACAAATGACTACTGACCCATACTGAACAACATATAGAGAGTGAAAAAACAGCCTAAGGAAAACATTCACTAGACATAAGGAGCAACTTATACATCGTCCATGTCACCGCAACTTAGCGTACTTTGTCCCCGCCCCCAATCTTAATGTAACTTAGAGCAGGTTCAGTTCCCCAAGTGCACGTATGCGCGTGCATAGGGCACAGAATTCGAGTTGTGGGACAGCTGAATTCCTGCTTTTACATTAATTCCCCACCGTGCTGATGCGCCCACTCACCCGAGGATATGGAATTCCCGTTTTGGTGTTCTCAAAGGCTGGAAGTAGTCTCACTGCTAGGTCATGAGCCATATGCAACAGTTCATTGTCATAATCCTTGATGGTCATATCACCAAAAGGCTGTTTGGTATCTGTAATTATTATGTGGGCAGAAAGCAGGCTTCCCAAAACCCTATGGGAAAAGGAAAAGATCTTCAGTTTTGAAATTGGATCTGAACCTAGTTCTTCAGCTAAACCCTTACCAGTATCACATTTAGCAGAATTATTACTGTGTGCACCCTACAGGCACTACACAAAGATCTCCTTTTCTCCCCACCAGTGGTGAAAACATCTAGAAGGCACGTTGCTGGTCACCCACGGTAATCCTGAAATCCGGTTACGCAGAATTTACCTAACCCAGTAGCTCCTTACAACATAGCAAGTTGTACCTATTTATGAGTGAAGACCTCCTTGCCCCTGGAAATGGCGGCGAGAGTGGTATATAAACTCGGTATTCAGGAAAAAGAAAGCCTAGCCAAGTTAAACAGCAACTGAATAAACACAGCTTAAGACATTTAGAAAATGAAGCCATTTAAAAAAAATCAGATGGTATCTTAAACTCCTCTCCAAGACAGACAGGCCCGTTTTTTCATCTAAAACGAAAGTAAAAGCAAGCAGAAGGTCCATAGAAGGAAACCAAAACCAGGGTTGGTTGTTGCACACAGATCTGAGTCGCTGCTGCAAGAGCGGCAACAGCAAAAAAGTAGCAGGCTGCAAGCCAAACACAGTCGAGACTACCATGGTGTCACTGCTTCAGGTCACGTGTGACTCGTTAAAATTGTTTTAATTATGAAAGGATGGAATACTTTCACGAAAGGTGAAAAAACAACTTGCTCAAGGCAGAGTTATGGAATAAAGCCTACCAAAGACATCCTTATCAATGATTTTACTGTGGTTCTCCCGTGTGTGCGCACCAAGTCTTTAACCTTGTTACTGGTATTTCTTAAAGACGGAAACTTCAAGCGACGTACCTGATCGTTGCCTCAAAAACTTGAACTGTTGAGTCTTTATCAAACGAAACTGTGTCAATCACCAACTTCACTGCTTTCTGGAATTCCGAGGAGTTTCCCATCACCTTTTACATAAAAAGAAAGCTATTTTGTCTAACTGTTGCTTCAGAAGAGGGCTGAGGAAGAGAATGGTCAGTTCACGTTTTAGACCGACAGTCGTATTAACTAGATACAGAACAGAATCCTGCTAAAAAGACTTTCCAGAAAGTTACCCACCCTACTGACATGTAAAAGTGCGTTTGTTAAAAAATATTTTAAAACAGGGAAATCCACAAAGATATATTTTCATCCGTTTTACTAATCAATGCGCTCACGTGCTCTTCCACCCCCAACGTCAGCCTCATGGGTGATCTCTTAAAGCAGGAGTCTAAAAACTCTGGGGTCTAGCACACTGAGTGTTTTAACTCTTAAACTGATAGCTTAAGCAGTTAAGTTTAGCTTCAAAGGTAACACAACTTGCAGAATGATGAATTCTGATCTGACATTTATTTGACATGGGGAAGCCAACTTTCCGGGCTTTCGACTCAACACCGCATGCCATGCCCCGGAGTTCCCTCGTGCCAGTTTTCTGTAGGTACCTCAGCAATGGATTTCCACTCTATCCAGAGACAGATGTAAATTCAGGAACACAGAAGGAAAACACAGGTTTCCGCTTGCCTAAGTCCGTGATAAGGCTGGGTGTACAGGGAACCTACCCAGCTCTTTAGCCACCAGAGCACCGTGTGCCAGCCAGCCTGCTCTTTACATTACCCCGACCTGGTGGGAAAGCATTCACATGCTTGGTCTGAGCAAATAAAGAGCAAAAGAGGCTTTCTCCATGCAGAAGCTTCTGAAACACAGCACACTCTAGGAACCAGAAGTCTTATATTTGAGGGGAAAAAAAGAAAAAAAGCGATATACTGCCTCAAAAGGCATGGCTAGGACACCAAGCCTTCCTGAGGACAGGAAGGCAACTGTTTAGCCAACACACCATCAGCCACGTCGCACAGATCCCTAGCTGCTGTTTCGGTTAAAACCAACGTTTTCCTCACTTCCTGCTTTCAGTTCTGTTCGTCGCTGCCACGTTCAGCTCCACAGCCGTGACCTCCTCACCGCACAGCCACAATTCCACTGCAGCAGTGAGAAGTATTTTATAAGCCGAAGCACACGTAGAGCCCTTGCACACACCAGCTTCTGCGCAAGAGGGGAGAAACGCACCACGGACCCCGTGCATCGGTGGGTCCTGTCGCTCCAGAAGGCCAAGAATCTTCCCTGGCTGCAAAAATGAGACTAATGGCACCTAAGGGGGTCTCTAAAGATGCATCGGGAGCTCAAGGAAGGGGTCCTTCTCCATGATACCATGTTGCTGGTACTGCTAACGTAAAACTAAGCTGCTTCTCGCATTAGTTTCAGGTTTTAGCAGAAACGCATACGATGGTCTATTTTAGCAGGCAAGAAGGTTTTTTTTGTTTTTTGGTTTTGTTTTTTTTTTTTAACAGCTTTTTCCTCTCCTTCCTTTCACCACTCTTCACACAGATTCACGTGTCAGTCAGGCCCTCTCTGCCAAGCAAAATGACCAGAGCTCTTACAGTCATCTTAAATAAGACAAACTCTCCTCCTGACACCTCTCTCAGCTACCCATGCACGTCCCGGTTCAAATCCACCCCTCCTGAACACCCGAGTGATGGCAGTATCCTGAAAGAGATCTCACCTGAGCCTTGGGGAAGGTCTCCAAAGTTTCCCCTGGCTCTTCTGGAACTCTCTGCTGATACATCACCAAGTACTCTTACCCTTCCCTGCACATGTAACTCTGCTAGCTCGTGACCCAGACGCTAGCTAGTATACACCCAGCACCACCTTCTCCTCAGAAATGAGAGATTTAGTAACTTACAAACCATCAGACCTTTTACTTCATATTGCTGAAGTTCATTACACTTTCCATTGGTTCCTCATGATGCCATCTCATCTGCTCTTCCTGTTAATAACTGATCTCTATTTCTATCAGCAGCTCTGCAAGAAACATTAGCACTTTTTGCATGAACCATGTTAACACGCAAAGACTAAACATCACCAGTCCAATGGCAGGTCCTTGGAAAATGCTGTGGAGTATCTCCCTCTAGTTTGAAACTTGCTGTTGCCATCTTCCTTCAACTTGTCGCCAAGTCTCTCTACCAAGTACCCCTCTTCTTCAGCTCCACTAACTTTTTGTTTTGTTTCTAAATACAGGTCTGGTTCAAGGTACCAGATCTACTGTGGTTATCAGTTCAGCCTCAGAGCAAGGGGCGTTATCAGTGTTGCTCAGTACCAGCGCAGATGAACCTAGCGAGGCCCATCTTCAAGACAACTTTGAATAAATTAACGCTGTACCACACATACATTTTCCCCTTCAACTCTCTCCTCTGAAGCCCGTTCCAGCAGGCTGCCTTGCTGTCGAGGCAACAGCTCGTGACCACGCTCCCACCTCAACCCAACCACCCTGCAGCCCTTTCACAGCCCTTCCAAAGGAAGCTCTGTGCCCGACAGCGAGCGTTGCCTCCCATTTTCCCACACCGGCACTGGGAACACACCACCCGGTCAACCACATCAGGCGCCCGTTCCCCGCCAACCAACAGCCGGAGGAACGGGTCAGTGGGCAGTGTCAAAGGCACCCGGGGTTTCTCCTCTCTCAGAGCCTCCCACCGACTGACCAAGCCCTGGACGCCCCCGCCCTGCTTGGACGGTGCCCCCAGAGCTCCCTTTGCAGCCGAATCCCCCCAGGGCCACGCGTCCCAGCCGTGTTACCACCCCTCGGTGCTACCGTGCGGGGCTTGGCGCGCTCGTTCCCGCTGCCAACACCAACCCCCCCCGCCCCGATGGGACTCATGTCCTTAAATTCCTATCATGCCAGTAGCCATAACACATAGCAGCGGAGAGTGTCCCATTTGATAAATGGAGCCCCACAACATTAACTGTGTTCACAGTTTTCATATTTGCTATGGCCAGCTGCGGTCTTCCTCGCCTCCTGGCATTACAAACGCTTCTTGGAGCACCACACCAGCAATCCTCTGACACCATGTGCCTCTGAAGACACTGCAGGTGTGGTTTACTGACATTAATACTAAACGATCTAGCTCTCAGTGCTCAACAGCATTTAGTTCTCTAGACACGTCTCCTTTCTGAAGTATTTCTACTTAAGAGAATATAAATATTAAGTATTTATCAGTATATAAAGGATATAAATATACTTACTATGAAGTATTACTATCAACTTCAGCATTTCTTGGGTTGCTTTATTTTAAAATCTTCTTGTATTATAGTTGTTTATATATCGTCTTCTAAAACCAGCTCCTAATGTTTTAATCTCCTCCCCAAACGATTAACCTATTTTCTGCCTGAATATTGATCTCCTCAGCAGTCTCCCCCCCTGCACTTCAGTCTTTTCCGCATACAACTCATTTAATCTTGGCCATTGCATTTCACATCCAATGCTTCACATTTCATTGCTAGAATATGTAATGGTTGTTGTCCCGGTTTCGGCTGGGATAGAGTTAATTTCCCTCATAGCAGCTAGCACAGTGCTGTGTTTTGGATTTAGTACTACAAGAATGTTGATAACTCACTGATGTTTTTAGTCATTGCCAAGTAGTGCCTAGACTGCTCAAGGACTTTTTGAGATTCTCCTGCTCGGCCAGGGGCATAACAAGCTGGGAGGGAACACAGCCAGGACAGCTGACCCCAACTGACCAAAGAGCTATTCCAGACCACAGAACGTCACGCTCGGCGGGGTCAGTCAGTTGCGGGGAGAGTGATGGCAGCTCGGGCGGAGCGATCACGGCTGGGGACGGGCTGGGCATCGGTCGGCAGGCGGTGAGCAATTGCGTTGTGCATTGTTCGTTTTGTATATTCTGTATATTCTCTTACCATTCTCATTATTACTATTATTATTATTTTCTCTTATTAAACT